TAATTAGTATTATCATCAACTATTGCATGTTGAACTGCAGGTAGTGTGTAGTGTTCAACAGGATGAAGCAGATGCATGTGACATATGGACATTTGTTTATTCAGATAGTGCCCAGTGTGTTCAGAAACATACCTGATTGGCCAGTTTTTTTTTTGTTCAATGCAATTGAACAAACAATTCAGTTTAGACAAAGAGCATGATCAGCAATAGGACAACATAACATATGCCAATAATGAAATAAACCATGACAAAATTCAGACTGTGCTAAGAAATCATTTCAAACTTTGTATTTGTATGTATGATTTTTTGATATGGTGTCTTTCACATTTCATATCACTGCTGTGAGTGCCAAAATTTGCTAGTACTAAGACAAAAATAATTCCACTGCTTTCATTAAGACAAACAGTAAACTATAAATTTAGAAAAAATATATATATTTCTGCAAAATAATTAAATAAATAAGCAGCTTAACTTTAAACAACATAGTTTAAGTGTTGCTATGCAGATTATGCAACACTTCCCATCAAGCAGGTTCTATTAAAATCCAATCCTTTAATATTTCTACTTTGTAGAATTTTTTTATAATTGAGCATGAGCTGTATCACCCTTTCAAAATGTATGCAGTCCATGCCAGTTTTTTAATGCAGTAATAAGTAATAAATTATTTATTAAACCGTAGCATTAACACAGCCAAGTTCCCTGATGAAGTTTTAATCTGACACAAAAGCTACATTTTCAGAGCTAAACAAGTGAAATGAAAGTAAATAAATACTGGGCACCCTGTATTAAGATGCAACATGGAAAATACTACAAGCAGTCACGCCACACTTGCCGCACTTCTTTCAGGTGCCATATTTTCCACAAAACTACACCCAACCTGGTATAACTCCAAAGTTATATAAACGTAAACGATTTGCTAAATATTTCACTTTTACAGCAAATTATTTCAGCAGCGTAGAAGCTGCTCTAATATGAAATGCAGACAAAATCTAAACACTGGCTGCCATTAAGTTGTTGTATATTTCACATGACATTTCTTACAGTGCCCATGCCAGTAAATGACCTGGAATGATACTGCCACACTGCACTAAAACCTTAAGATGATTAGTGATATTCTTAAAACCTAGCCCACTGATAATGTGTTTAAAGAAGCGATAGGGCTTTTCCAAGCTTTGAGTTCAAAGTCTTAGAAGCATGGGGTCAGAATGCCAATGGGCTAAACAAAGAGTAGCCAAAATGGGCTTTGGGGGATTTGAAACTTAGGCCCCTGAACCTCTTTGATCAAAACAGAGCTACGGCCATAGAAATACTAAGTATCAAGTGCCTGGAACTGTGCTTCCAAAGAATGGTGAGTTTGGCATGTAGAATGAGACACTAGATGGTCAATAAGAGCTAGAAATAATACTGATATAGTATAGCAGGAAGCTAAGAAGTATGAAAATGCATTATAATACTCACGGTTCCAACCAATGAACAACATTGAGGTAGTTTCTCAAAGCTGGTTCTCTAGATGAAGCCAGATGGCCCTCAGCACCGATGGGTGCCAATACTAACCTTAAGATTCCTAAACCAACATTATGAATATATTTGGACATTTCTATATCAAGTTGTACTGTATGAGTGGCAACACATTTTATTCTAAAATGAGAAAGACAAAGGTTTCTGAGTGTGGCCTGTAATTGTTTAGATATGCCAATCAATTTCAGCTAAAATGTTTGGATAATCCCTTTTTAAAATTCTACTTTAATGACATATAAGGATTAAATCAGGTAGCAAGAGCCTTGTTCTCCACCATCTGTTTTAAGGATGTTATGTGTGATAACTCTGGAAATATTCAACTAGCTAATTAGTTCTACTTTGACTCTCAGCAAGTGTCCTGTTTTAGTCAGTGTGCTTGATGATATGAACAGATTTTCTCATCTTGAGCAGCCTTGAGCAATTAAGTAAGCATGTTTTCATCTTATTCTAATAAATGCATTAAGTCCAAGAGAACCCAACTGTGTTATTATTACCAAATTGACATTTTCTAACAATATAACCTTACCAAATGTACAGTGCGATTAATATTTTTTCCCTTGATGTCAAGGTACCTGAAGAGGTTAAATAAAAATGGGCAAATAATCTAAAATCATAATCAATCAAAAACTCAATTATGCGTGTTTATTATCATCCTGTCAGTTATAGTGAAACACCTCTATGCTGCTACATCAACAACTGATTAGTGCTGGAGACAGGCATAATGACAAATAGGACATATGATGGAGAAGACGATTAAACTGAGAGAATTTCAATTAGCCTGTGTGAGGTCTTTGAATATTCTCTTATAGCACTGGTGGTTAACACTTATCACGTTGTTTCCAGTCCACATTAAGGGTGCATGGTGAGTCATACAGTGTGACTGGTGTACCACAACAACATACACTGTAGTCAAGCTGGAATGTCTTCGAATACAACTGAAGGACATAAAAGTCTACGTATGTTCGTAACATGCATAGTTGTAAGACGTCGTACGTGTCATTGATTACTATCACTGTATATATGGCATGCTCTATTTCTATTAATTGTGGTATCAGACATATTATTATTTGGTATGTGCCTGCATGCAGCATCACTTTTCAGCTGGGGTTTTCATGAATTTCAACACTTACCTTTATTGCCTTCTTTAGACATTTGTAGCATTCAAGCATTTTTAGCTGTAGATTAACAACTAATCAGAACAAGTTTCATACATTTGTTGCAGATAGCAGGGCAATTGGGATGCAAGTAAGGATTGTTTTTATTATTGGTTAATTTGCCCATTCATTATTTGGTCAATAAAACATCAGAAATAGTGACAATTGGGGATCACTTCTTAGAACCCAAGGTGGGGTCATTAAATGTCTTATTTGTCAGATCAACAGTTCCAAAAACCCAAAGAGATTCCATTTACTACGAAATAAGACAAGGAAAGCAATAAATTATCATATTTTAGAGGCTGAAACCATCAAATTTGTGGCATTTTAGCTTGAAAGCTGCTCTAGCTTTCATTCAATATTAATAAGTAAATAGTAAAAAGTAAAATAAATAGCTTGTAACTTAAGTCAAGCAACCTTGGACGTTTGTTATCACCTTCTATAAACAAATCTTCATATTCTCGCTTTCTTCTCTGACCTATCCAATAAATCCAAATCAGAAAGGCACAATCACAATAAAATTTAAATATCAAAAGTTCTATTCTGCATCTTTCTTCTCCTGAGGTCATGCCTTCTACTAACAATATGTATTCAAACGGATCATTTAGGATGTCTTTCTAAATATTCATAATCAACCAATAATCTGTTGAATTATTAGCAGTCTATTAGCAGTGGCAGATCCCACCTGATGACACAAAGTGATAGGACACACAAAATATAATGGGCATCTTGTTTTAATTGTAAAAATGTTCTCTTTTTTTAAGGTGACAGGGCCATTACTCCAAAGTCACCACTTATCAGCAGTATCACTGAGGATTAATGGTTTCACTTGTGCTCGTAAGAAATGTTTAAGTTGTCCCGATTATCAGTGCAAGAAAAAGAATAATGGTTATTTGTCATTGTGTTAAGCAGTGAGAGAGACTAATCTAACAAAACACTCAGTTAAGAATGTAATTAACCCTTTCTAGTTAGGCTGAATGGGATGCGTGTTGGACTGTGCACAGCAGTTAAGCCACTGTCTAAAATGAATGCTTGCTTACTGAATAGTTGTGTCAAATTCAAAAATCAGCAGATATAATATTCTGTATACGAGGTTCTAAAATGACTAGGCTGAAAAGGCTAAGGCTAAATTAGAACAGGGTATCTATTCCCACAAAAGGAGAAATCCAACCTTGCACATGGTTTATATCTCTTGAAGATTCAATGTAATATTGTCAACATTAATCCCATTAGTTTGGTGCATAATTCAGCCTGCTACTGGGTACAATGACAGTGACCTACAGGCCAGAAGATGAAAATGGTTTCCTCTTTAAACACTACATAGGAACAAATGATGTAAAGCTGGGAATGGAGAATCAAGGACTTGAAGTCAATCAATAACCAGCAATAACAAGCACAGTCAAAGAGGAACCAACCTAAAAGAGACAAAAACATGCTGAGTGGTAAAACTGAAATGTTACAGTAAATATTACGCTAGCATAATACCCAATACATGCAATGATCTCATGGCTAAACATTTACTTAATATGACACAAAATGAAAGAAAAAAATAGGGAATTGCAATGACAAATTGAAGATTTAGATTTTAAATTTAAATTGAGACTAATAGTTTGTTTGCAACAACAGCAATTACCACCACCAATAGCTGCCATACTACCCATTTAACACATTTGTCTCGTGAAGGATTTCTTTTTCCAGCGGTACAGTCCCTGAAGCTTTTGTACTGGTTGTGCAGGCTTGTTCCTGCTCCAGTAATCTCCTACATTATTTTCCTTGTCTGTCACCTTTATAGTATCTATTAGCCACTCTCTACTATCTGTTTGTGGGGCATTTTCTCTTCCTTTTCCCCATGAATGTTTTATATATTGGAGGGAGAATGATTGTTCTTTGCAATGAGGCCAGCGCGTGGCCTCAGTAAGACAAATTGCTCCAGAACGTCTAAATGGCAGTCAATGATAACTCATTGTAAGGAGAGTAAGTGACTTCCAATGGAGTGGATAGGGGACAGAGAATAATGGCAGAGCACAGGTGAAAAATAGATGTTTGGCTCGGTGTAATTACTCCATTAGGGGGCTCTCTGTTAATCTACCAAACCACAGCAAGTGTTTTTACAGCAATGAGGAGGTGACGGGCAAAAATGACTGCAACTGGACAGAGAGGAGCCCCGCTACCTCCCCAATCACAACACACACTATGAAGTGTTTACTAATGGACAAATGTACTCTCAGTCTGTGCTCTGTGCAGCATCCCACGAGCTACTCCAGTTACAAGTAAGTGTGGTGGTAGATGTATTGACAAAGTTCATCATTGAGCTGACATATTAATTACCTGCAATATGGTCCCATGCGTTCAGAGTGCTTTAACCTCCTCTGTCTCAACTGTGTACTGGGGGATGGATCAGCTGTGGGCCTGTTAAACATGAAAATCTGGGTTAGAACAAAAAAAAAAAGGGACAAAGGAAAACCCACCCGCTGGAAATCAACACCCCCATTCTGCTGATTTCCAGACAAACATAATGATAACAATTTTTTGACCATTTGGTGTCTGCTGCTTCCGCCTGTGGCAATCTAGACAAAGGAAGCCTGGGAAAAAAAGGCTCCAATATGGTCTTAAGAGTTTACTCTGACCACACAATCTGTTTTCTTAAGTCAACTTTTAAAACACTGCTATAAGCGGTGCCCACAGCTTTATCACTGAAGCTCAGATTGACCTTGTATTCACCTTTATACTATTTCCCATCTGTTTAGGTTCCACCCTAGAATCCATCCCAGTTGGCTGTAGGCCCACTTTGCATTGGGCTTTCTCAGTGGAACCCTGAACAAAACCCTGTAGGAGCAAAAGACTCTCTGTTCGGCCTATTTCAGAGAAATTTCAGCTCGCATCTAAGCATTTCTTTCGACACCCGACAAGCCTACTTGGACTTCTCAGGCTGTCTCCCCCATGTGCAACATAAAGAAACCCCAGCAAGTGTAAGAGATTTACCCTTCTTTTTACTGTAGCTTTTCACTTGACTTTAATAAGTACTCTCCTCGAGCATGGCAGAGTTAACATGAGGGTCAGAATAATGTGGTCGATTCTGCAGTTTATTCTTTAAAACGGTAACTCGTGACCACTATGTAGAGGCTGATAAGGAAAACACCCAAGTGAACAATAAGTGACTGAATTATCAGAAGTCCATTCTTGTGTCTTTAAATGGCTCTTTACTCTTTATACTTTCATTTAACTTATAGTACAGTTACAAGTGAATTAAGGCTGCACACATTTATTTACATCCTTGGTTTGAGGCTCTGCTGATACAAATCCTCACTGTAGCTCATTAGAGGGGCAAGCTGACCTTCAACTAGATTAGAAAAAAAAAAAACGTTGAAAGCTATCAGCAGGCAGGTGTACATGGCTCAAAACACAGACAAAGGCACCAATAGGGGAAAATACAAGGCGTCCAGCTGGACAATTTTCACTGCCCCAAAAGCTACAGGTTGCGGTAAGGGGACTTCAAATGCTAAGGACAGTGAGAGGTGCCATTATCACTCAGTGCTGAAAACGAGCACGGTGACCCGATTAAAGCGAGAATTTCTGGGTCACGGTCTTGTTTTTCAATGCTTAATTTGTCTATCGATAGTGACACGGTCCGTGGCTTGCACCTACCTGTAATATTATCTTTCTAAAAGTCGTGGTTCAGACAGGGCCCTTGTCACAGTAACCCAACGCGGAGGAGTGGGTGAGCGGATTGGCCTGCAGCGTGTTGCAGGGAGGAAGCGCTGGCTGGCTGGCTGACTGGCTGACTGGCTGTGGAAGTTGCGGGCTGCGGCGCCGCTCAGTGGACGCTCCGGTTGCAGGAGCTCCTCTCCTCTGCTGTGGAGCTCCTCCGTCACGGCAGCCTTCCGAGCATGCAAGAAAATCTACAAACTCTTTTTTTTTTTCCTTTTTTTAAAAATAAGTTTTGAAACCTAAACTTTTTTTGGAATGAATTGAGTTGTTAATTTAATTTATTTGCAGGTCCTACGTGTTTTGAAGTTTTGGAGGAAATATTAGGATATATTATTACCGAAAAACACTGTGTATTCATATAATGTTCCCTACTGTGCAGTCAAGACATTTTTCATCCACACTGCGTTAGGTGAGTATCCTTAGATAGATAGATAGATAGATAGATAGATAGATAGATAGATAGAAAAAAACTTCTAATTCTATGTAATGCTGATGGCTAAACTTTTATTGATAGATGAGTCAGTTCTAGACAATTAGAGGTTCATGGGTTTTATATCTGTCTGTCCACCTCACTTGAGGATGAGAGCAGTTTGAATATAGTGTGATAACAATTGGACCTATGTGCATGCACCATCTCTTAAAGATCAATCTAAAATTTGACTTCCGTCTGTGATTTAAGAAATATATATATAGCCTACATAAAATTTCAAGCACTAGTTTTGTCTTAAGTTGCACTAAGAATGCCAATAAATATGCAGGTACTATACACATTATATTTCACCTGAGCTGAAAGTGGTTAGCTTGTTTCGGTGGCCTTTGGTGTACAGCAACAAACAAGTTCATAGTGTCTGTGGTCCAGCCTTCTCAGGGCTTCCTTTGCATCAGACGCACTGCCCTTCATCTCATGCTAATGTAGTACAAAAAAGATATCTAGCTTTAAAGACATGGCAGTCAGTTAAAAAAAGGCTGTGCTTAGTGTTTGAAGCCATAAATGTGACAGAAGACTTCAAGAGGAAGACCCAAGACTGGCAGTCTAAAGATGAGTGAGAGGCGGACAGGCAACATGTTTTTTTTCCATCCAGAGGGATATTCTGTGGCCAAGCTTGATTATTAGAGATGAAGGACGGGCTGAGAGGATGTGGGATTGTTAAATCCTTGAATCCTTTCACCAAAGCCGCCCCCCACCCATAACATTCTTCTGCACTCCATCTCTGTGCATTTATGGTGCACCCTTGATTTTCCTCTCTTTTCTTTTTACGACTGAAGGAAATTCAGATCCCCTGATGATATGCAAAAAGCAGGAAAGAAATATGGAAATATAATTTGGCACTCTACAGTATCTAAACTTAGGTATTTAGAAATAATATTGTGATATAAATTTCTATTATATGTTCCCAAACCAAATAGACCTTGTACAGGATGACTGAATCCCAGTTGTTGGCAGGAATTCACAGGATCATCCCACAAATCACTAATATAACTAACTAACTATATATCTAGACAGCACTTCAATGGTCTATGGTGTTATGTGAAACCCTGGCTGTGGATTCAAAACCTCTGCTCCCCTTGCTATGAGAGGCTGTGCTTCATTTGATGCTCTGTCCATTATTGCCAGCATATTTGAAAAGTGCTAAGCCTTGAAACGAGTCCCATATTATTTCAGACCGGACTGAATATTTCACGGCAGGAGGCAGAAAATGAGACCTTCCCTCAAGAGACTGCCTGCAGTGCATTCTACTTGGTGCAGCAATCGGAAGGTCTCATACTGTGCAAAACACACTCGAACAAACAATTATATATTTATCTGCCACACTTGTGAGATTTTTCTTTATTTTGTGTGTGTGGTTGTACAGGAAAATGGGAAAGAAATGCAAAACTGAAGGATACTATAAATATGGAGAGTCCTCTAGTTTTGTGCTTGTTAAGATTGGTATCAGCACACACATCAGGGTACAGTGAGTAATCAGCGACCCATAAAATAAGGTGTTTTATCACCACCTTAGGAGCAGGAACACATTCCAGGGAAACTAGAGATCCCTTTGAGTTACACCCAGAGTAAAACAGCACCAGGCTAAAAACAGAAAGCTAACCAGATTGATTCTTGAATCATCCAGTGCCTGCTTGAAATTGGATCCCCGGTCTAGTGAGATTAGCCAACGACATTGTCTGTGTTCTGGTGCATGATTCCATAAATGTGTAACAGAGTAGACGGTGGACTCAGTTTTCTGGTAACAATGCTGTCTTTCGACTGATTCTGTTGAAGTAGCTTCAGTGGCAGCGTAGCTTTGGGAAATGCTTGCAGTTACAATATTCATGGGTTCAAGAGAGACAGGACAAGGAAAGTTCCTGAGAAAAGTGTGTTATAGGCATGCACTCAAACTGCTCCCTGCATATTTATAATTATTATTACCATTTGAATCATTGTTGTGGTATTATTTTATTCTATTTAAGCAACAATAATAGGAACAATAAAGATATGCATTATGGTCGGAAAGCCAGTCTCTGTGAATGGTGATGCATGATGGGTCCTTTTATCTGACAGAATACATTTTTTCCTCATTGACATTTCATTTAGATTTTCCACCTTTAAGTTATAAAATTGTTATCTAACACAAAATGAGCGCCCATTACAATTTAAAGTTGACATATAAAATGTGGTTAAATTTTATTTCATTATATTGAACAAACTACTCAATTTGCACCTAAAAGTAGATTTTGCTTCAGGAAAAAAGTCAAACAACAAAGCTTTGCTTAATCATTGAAACTTCAGCTGGCAGTGACCTTTGGGAAGGATCCATATCTCTGTTCCTGGAAGAAATGATGTGGATGGCAAGCAGTTGTGTCCTTTGTGTTTTGTGAAGATATTGAGTGTTTGAAGTGTTAACACTGACACTAAGCCTTTGGGGCGAGCAGGCGAAGGAAACATGTCACACAATAGGATGGGACTTGGATCTTTGCGTCCCCTTTTCTGACCTCTGACCATTATTGGTTTTCGGGGTTGCTGCAGCCCCGGCTCCTTAGGGGCAGTGTCTGCCTTGATCATATCATCACAATGTGCAGAAATAGGAGTATTACTTAGCTAATAATTGGACCCTCTTCATACAGAGTGTCATTTACTCAAAGTGCTCGTTTATTTCTTTTGTTTAGAGGTTTTATGTTTATCATCAATGTGTGGCTTTGGCTAAAGCCCTTCATTTGAAAATTGTGATTTAAAGGTCCAGTGTGTAGGATTTAGTGGCATCTAGCGGTGTAGTTGCAGATTGCAACTCACTCGCTTCACTCTCCCCTTTCAATTATGAGAGA